GCTCAGTTATCTCTATATACTCTATCACCTATTCATATCTTCTTTTGTCTTTTTGAGACAGGGTCTCACTATGTAGTTCACGCTGGTCTTGAGCTCACTTTGTAACCCAGGCTGGTTTGGAACTCACAAGGATCCTCCTGCTTCAGCCTCCCAAGTGCTGGGATTATAGGCATGCACCACCATGCCCTCTACCTAGTAATATCTTTAATTACCATTTAGATTACTATTTCCTGGGCCTTCTAGATTAATTTTTTGGTTGGCCCCAGGTCAAGTTTAGCTTTATCCTCGTCTATCAGCTGTAGAGCGATCTCTGAGGTATCACTGTCACAGGACTGCACACCAGCTCCCCAAAAGGTAGAACCAACTTCTTCTCCAGATCTGAGTTCATGGTACAGCCTGATAGCATGTTCTGGTACCCAAATAGGTCACTCAGCATTCTCTGGAAAAACACAAGCATACTCTGTACCCTAGGTAAGTAGCTGACTGGGTCCCTTCCATTGTCCAGTGTGGAGATCTCTCCAAAGGACCCTTCCTATCCCTTTTTCTTTTACCTGATAGAATTGTCTTTCTGCTGCTTTTACTTCCATCTTTTGTAGAATTTAAAAGTTAATAGTATATACTGCCAAGTGAAGTCTCACCTCTATATGAGGTGTCAATTTCATAAGCAAAAAATTTCCCCTTTTGTTTTAGTAATTGAAGTTTGATCGCACAGTAAATGCATTCAACAATTCCTTGACCTAGAGGGTTTTAAGGAATCCCTGTTGTAAGGGAAATATGAAAAGTTTTACAAAACCTTTGGAAAGCAGCACTTGTATATGCTGGGCCATTGTCAGTCTTAAGTACTGATAGGCAACCAAAGGCACTGCAGGCATCCAGGCAATGAACAATGACATGTATCACTGCTTCACCACCGTAAGCAGAAGCAAAAATGAATCCTGAGCAAAGTCCACTGAAACATGGACCCAGCATAAAGAACCAAATTCAAGAATGTGAGTGACATGCATCTGCAAAAGATGATTGGGGTGTAACCCTTGGGGATTGACCTTCATAGAAGGTGAGGGAAGGTGTATTATACATGAAGAGCATTGTTTAACAATTTCTCAGGCCTGTTCCCAGATCAGATGGAACTGTTTGGAAAGGCAGAACATTTTGATGAAAGGTGGCATGTGAAGCAGAAGACTGCTGAAAGGTATCTGAGGGAGTAACAGTGACAGTAGCCAGCAATTTGTCTACAGCAGTATTTTCCTCAGTGAGAGGCCTCGGCAATAGGGAATGGGAACACATATGACCAATAAAACAGCATGACATGCCTGTATTCTGGAAGAGGAAGCCATCATTTGTCCTCCCTTACGCTAAGATAATCCATCTTTAAAAATGAAGCAAATTAACTTGTCTGAAGGATAATGACAATAACACCAGGGGAAATTAGCCCAAAAGCTGGGCAGAGTTAATTAATAGATCATTTAAGATTGATCTGAACAGTTTAGGGTAACTGCCACATCTGTTGAAAAGCATCTCAAGTCCTATGTTGGTAATTTTTTCAGAATCTTGAAATTTCAAGAAACCATTTTCATCACGTCCTGTCATATAAATAACAACACTGCTTCTATCATCAGAGAGATGTTTCAAGGGCTGGGGATTTAGCTCAGTGGCACAGTGCCTGCCTGGCAAACTCAAGGTCATGAGTTTGATTCCCAGTACTGGATGGAAAAAAAAAAGATGTTTTAATCTAGGAGTACTAGGTTGAATCCTCCCAGTTAATACC